TGCATAGAATTCACGGATTTACCCTGTACTCTTCCCTAATTATCGATAAGACAGTCTGCTGGTGCCACATGTATTCTCGTTCAATGCACCGAAAAATTTTGTAGAAGAAACTCTTTGAAAAAAGAGCAATATCAGCTTCTTCAGCCCACCGTTGCAGTTCCTATTAACATAGACATTGTGAAAATTTCCCTGTAAACACCTCTGCGCAAATGATGTTTTCTAACATACCACATATCTGGTTCCCGTTGTTATGGCAGCAACAACAGCCTGGACATTCCCTCTGAACGACTTCTCTTTGGGATGTGGAACTGCCCTTTCCTGTCCTTCGAAGCGTTTTTCGAAAGGGTAACAAGTCGTGCAGATGTAATCCACGACAGGAGCTGTTCCAACAGCCCTCAGACGCACACATCTTTTCGACTCTGATATTTTGGAGCCGCAAGATGGGCAAAAACGGAAAAGCTTCAGCAACTGGCTTCCCTTTATAAGGAAATGGCGATCGAGCAGAACAGGGTCTGTTTCATCCAACTCCACAATGTCCTGAGAGCCTATCGTTGAATCCGATGGATTTGTATATTGGGAAAGTGGATCTGTAGGACTGGGACTGTTGCGTACAAACTCCCTCAGAGGTTCTACTTGTATTCAAGTCCTCCGATGTTTGTGACAACATCCGATCTTCGGTCTCCTCCACAGAAGCAAGTTCGACATCCTCGGCATGAGCTCGTGTTCCTTCTAGCTCTTCTTGTATTTCATCGTCATCAATCTTAAAAACAATTTTTTTGAAGTGAGAAACCTTCACGTTGCTCCGGAGATATATCAGTTCTTTGTACTATCCTACTATATATAATCCGCTAAATGTGTCTGCGTGTGTCTGTCTGTATTTGTCACAAAATTCATAATACCTTCCTCTGCGGCTATCCTAACAGGCTGCACTATTCCCGTGTAGGTTATGAACGTACCAGTCGGATCGCTGGCTAAGGCCGGCTCTTCCTCCTTCTGTGATGCGGGGGGGGGGCGCTGCTGCTGCTTCTGCGTCTTGACGGAACAAGCGCTGCTTTTCAGTTCTTGGCTGATGCAGAAGATTCCTTTGAACAGTGTGGTTGGTCAACGATCCTTAACTTAGCACGCGGCAAATCCGCATGGCCCGGCGAAGCCGGGCCATGTCACAGAAGGAGGAGCGCCCGGCGACAGCTGGGCGATCCGACTGGTATGATATATTGTCTCAACAGACGTTCACTTTTACATACATGCAGAGAACTCTTCCTTTTCCTGGACCCCGAAAACTTGCTCTGACTGACTTCTCTGAAATCACGATAGAAGATGGCCACATGATTCGCTGTTAGTTTAAAACTGGCCTGAACGGAAATGTATTTGCATAGACCACAAACTATAAACTACTGAGACTGTATGCTTACATCAATAGCCAGCCGGTTCGGCTCTAAGCGAACAAGAATCTCTTCAATGGCACGAGAAGGGACGGTGAATAGATCGCTCACAACAACTTTGCATATCGTGCTCACTGCATCACCAATATAGGTAGCCTGATATTGCAAATTTGCTCCAAATTTGCTCGCTTACTAACTAGTGACCGGTGTACGCTTTTTGTTCTTACCCGGCTTCAGCTATTAATGACGTCTTACAGAATAGCGTTTGCGTAACACCGGCACGCAATTCATTTAAAACCACAGCGTGCGCATCCGACAATCTCAGTTCTATCCTTCTCCAGGCATGATACACAACAAGAGTAGCATGGTGCTTTGGCTTTTTACGGGCGACGGCAAGGGTCGCTCTCTTCTTGACACACAGACCACAAAACGGGCAGACAGGCATGGTATCTGCCATATAAGTTAGTTAAGTTTCATATTGTCCGAATATCCGTGGTATATAGCGTGTAAACTGACTCAGACAAGCGTCTTGCCGAAAATAAATGGGTGTCTCTACGCACGCTAATAACTACACGCATCATTATAAAGATTTATTATTCCACAAAACAGCCCGCCCAATTTGAACGGGACTTTTCGCGCTGGCATGTAGGTCGTCTTTTTGCACGCACATGTGACCCTCAATAGGGTCGGGTTCCGCTGAACTCAGCAGTAATGCATGATTAGTCCTTGTAGGAGGTGATGTTAATTGAAGGTAGAAGAGCGAAGTGAATGCTCGACAGTAAATGCTTGAAGAAGGTTCAGCAACGAGAATGCCTCCAACTTGCGGGCTGAAAAGAATCTAGATTGATTCGACAAATTACGCATTTCAACGGAAATCTTATGTTTCGAAATGTCCTACTTCATTATCCTTCTTGATCCGAGATATTTTTGTGTTGCCGCATCGTAACAGGCCTTCCGTTCTATGTTGGAGCTATGAGGAGATTGCTGATCGCTGTAACCTGGAAGAATAACTTTGGTTTTCGTGAAAAAAGAGGGCGTAAATTTTTGGACAGGAGTAATACTGAATTAGAAGGGAGGAGGTGAAAGCCACAGGAGAATCAGCTTACGTTTTCCCACCACTCCTCGAACGGAAAATCCAGCAGAAGCAGGGTCGTCCCATATCCCTTCTTCCCTTTATCCGAAAGCTAACCCCTCACCCTCTCCCCCATTGGAAAAAGGAAGCTGATGCACCCAGTCAAATGTCCCACGTCCCAAGCTGAATGAGAATCGGAGTCGTATGGGAGTCAAGCAAATGGCCCCGTCAACAGAACTGCGTCTTATGTTTTATTACATACGTATCGATTTGAAGAAATGCAGAAATACCGAAAGTGAAGAAGTGCGGAAAGTGCAGAAGTGCGGAATCTGCAGAAAAGCAATAGATACTTATCGACTTGAAGAAATGCAGAAATGCCGAAACTGCAGACGTGCGGAAAGTGCAGAAATGACGAAAAGCATTACATACGTATCGATTTGAAGAAATGCAGAAATGCCGAAAGTGAAGAAGTGCGGAATGTGCAGAAGTGCGAATCTGCAGAAAAGCAATAGATACTTATCGACAAAATGCAGAAATGCCGAAACTGCAGAAGTGCGGAAAGTGCAGAAATGACGAAAAGCATTACATACGTATCGATTTGAAGAAATGCAGAAATGCCGAAAGTGAAGAAGTGCGGAATGCGCAGAAGTGCAGAATCTGCAGAAAAGCAATAGATACGTATCGCGATTGAAGAAATGACAGAAATGCCGAAACTGCAGACTTTGCAGGAAAGATATCAGAAAATGACGAAAGCATTACATACGTATCGATTATTGCAAGAAATGCATGAAAGACCGAAAGTGTCAAGAAGTGCGGAATTGCCGCCAGAGTCAGGATAATCTGCAGAAAAGCAATAGATACGTATCGACTTGAAGAAATGCAGAAATGCCGAAACTGCAGACGTGCGGAAAGTGCAGAAATGACGAAAAGCATTACATACGTATCGATTTGAAGAAATGCAGAAATACCGAAAGTGAAGAAGTGCGGAATGCGCAGAAGTGCAGAATCTGCAGAAAAGCAATAGATACGTATCGACTTGAAGAAATGCAGAAATGCCGAAACTGCAGACGTGCGGAAAGTGCAGAAATGACGAAAAGCATTACATACGTATCGATTTGAAGAAATGCAGAAATACCGAAAGTGAAGAAGTGCGGAATGCAGCAGAAGTGCAGAATCTGCAGAAAAGCAATAGATACGTATCGACTTGAAGAAATGCAGAAATGCCGAAACTGCAGACGTGCGGAAAGTGCAGAAATGACGAAAAGCATTACATACGTATCGATTTGAAGAAATGCAGAAATGCCGAAAGTGAAGAAGTGCGGAATGTGCAGAAGTGCGGAATCTGCAGAAAAGCAATAGATACTTATCGACTTGAAGAAATGCAGAAATGCCGAAAGTGAAGAAGTGCGGAATCTGCAGAAATGCCGAAAGTGTGGAAAATCGATACGTATCGGTTGCTTTTCTGCACATTCCGCACTTCTGCACTTTCCGCACTTCTGCATTTCTTCACGGACGCAAGCTATGAACGCGGCCTAAGCGAGCAAAAAAAAAACAAATGATAAATCTTACCGATTCATACAGCGTTTTCGGCACCTCGAAGCTGTCTGAGAACGATGATTATCACATTTTCCGGCGTTTTTTTCGTTCTCCTTCATCAAACCTGTAACGACGAAATTGCATAGTTAAATAAATTGATACCAAACAAAAAATCAACATGCGGGCTCCGCCCACGTTCAATGTCTAGATAGAAAAGAAAACTTTACAGTAGGGAGAGGATTAGGCAAAAAACACCAAATTGCACAACAGATTGTAATACATTACATGAAAATATGAAAAAATAAATAAATGGTAGTGGAAGAGTGACTATTGATTGACAGACGACGAGGCGGAAACAGACGCCAAATTTTCTTGCGACGGCACACCAGGCAACGCTTGGAAACAGCGGGAAATTGTGAGAGTTTTACGGCGGGAATTTGAAAGGGGAATATGAATTCTGGTTTTTTGGAATTTTTTACGCAATTAAGCAATTCTTTTTGCTTTTTCTGCTATTCATGTGCAGAACAGAGCCCAATGTACTGATTTTTGGGGAAAATAGAATCACGCGGTTTCCGTGGACGATTCCTTTAAGCCGCGTCTACAGCAAATGTGTCTCCCTGGGCCGTCCACCGATTCATTCCCTATCGTTTCCCACCTTTTCCGCTCTCCGGAGAACCAGATTACGAAGTTTCGAATGTCTTATAGGCGAGCACTGCCCACCTATAAGATGCCCCGCCCGTAACGGGTGTGCCTCCCCCACTTCGTCCGTCAACTATTGTCTCTCGTTTGCCACATTTTCCGCTCTCAGGGTTCTTCTAGAACCGAAATACGAATTTTGGAATAAGTAGCTTCGCCAACTTGATGGGGCCGCAGCCATAGACCTCAGTTCCATTAGTTAAATCGCGCAAGATTGTGGCTGTTCTGGGCAGCTCGTCTGTGGATTTCTGAAATCCAGCCACGCGGTTAACTTGAACTTTGAAGCTTGACACCAAACTTGAGCGATGGATCGGTGGACTTGAGTTGATACAAGAAGAGAACCGTGAATTGAACATTTATGCCAGCAAATCGATACGATGTGCTTGCTCTGAGGAGCAAAGGGAACAAAGTCGACGGAGCAAAAGGTAGAAGGAGCGAAAGTGTCGAAGTGCAGAACCGCGTTCGTATTGTCCTTTTATAGGCCAAGTTCGCGCCAGATCGATGATTGGATTGTTGTCAATAATCTGCAGCGATCAAACTGCTTCACTGGCTTAACTGAACAAATCTGAACTAAACTTCATATTACTGACCATGAGTGAACATACAGAACAAGATGCAAAAGGTACGAGTATAACACCAGACATAACATGACAACTTGAGAATTCGAAGTTAAAGTTAAGTTACTTTCGCGACAATGTGTGTTTTGTATTATATATGTTGGTCCACGCCCTACCCGTCCTACCCTTGACCCGGCCCCTCAATCCGGCTCTTCAGGTAATGCTGAATTTCCGAACAGACACACAGATACACTTACTCAACAGAGAGACAGACACAGACAGGCAGACGTTGCCGTTCATAGGAAAGTAGGATAGAATGAGCCCTTAAATGGCCATGCACGGATTATACATTAGAGCCAAAAAAGTCTTTTTTTCTCTCTATTGACATTCGAGGCGCTATAGTTACACTTATTAATTCTGTCGGACATTTTTTGACACCATGTAAATTTAGATATATATTGAGAGTACTGGTCTCCAGGTAGCTATCCATGGGTGACTCCATACTAGAAGTTTCGCAGCTGTTTGGAGGTGACATGAATTCCAAAGGTCTTCTCCAGTCAGGCTGCGACTGGAGATGACTTCATTTGGTGTACATGAAGGTGATGGGCGAGAGCCAGCTCCTGCTTTTAACAGAGTCATCTTTGGGTATTTCCCGCCCGGGTTACCCGTTTCCACTTCCTCTGTTCGGGCAGCTGAAAAAACTTTGCTTGATTATGTGACTCGTCGAAGTGAACTTTTTTTATGCCCCCCCCCCCCCTGTATACATCACCATCGCCGCAGAATATTACAAGAGGTTTAGAGATCGGAACAGGCTTTTTTTTTTAAGATTTGACATTAACTTGGTCTCTGATGCCTACTTAGCGCAGCCTTATAAAACATGCATTCTGCAAATTAAAGTTAGAATAGAGCCAATAAATAAGGTGGATGAAATCGTCCTTTCTTGTCGAATGATTTTCACTCTTTTTTGACATTGCCAGAAATGCATGGCAAAAATGGAACCCATTTTTATGGTCCTTCCAAAAAGCTCGCCATGATCTGGATGAACTCCCTTGTGTGAGTTTCGAGCACAGATCAAGGCGCTTACCACCAAGGCAAAACACAAGATATCTTACTCCGAAAATGAAAGTACCCTAAAATTTCCCAATAGATCAAGAGCCGTTTAATTTACCGGTGATAAAAATGAATCTTGGAAAATGAAATGGGTGTGTTGAAATTTTTGAATGCAGTCACCCCTCTAACTTGATGGATGGATAAATAAAAATCGGAGAAGAAGTTTAGAAGAAGCTCCGCCCCTCAACTCTAAACCC